ACAACCGGCACAGAAGACAACAACATGACTAAGAGAAGGGAAAAGTGTCAACCCAGGCTTCACCTGCGGAGATCCTTGCTGCTAATCAACATTTAGAAAGATGGGCGTATGGGCTACAGGTGCTACTTGGATGCCATTTCTCTTAAGAACCCCTCAAGGCCTACATGCGTAGGCGCTCTGACAGCAGGCCTGTTGTTGCTGGGCAGTGGATCGACTCAGTCACCTATAAGTAACTGATTCCGTCCTCTTGGGGCCTGCACAAATGCCCTTCACCTGCAATCTTTGGCTGTTGGCTTCATTTTTCACTTAACTGTACCTCGGCACACTCCCTTTCTCCATTGCTGTAGAGAAGCTCCCAATCAAAGCTGGGCTCTGATCGCAGGATTCACTGATCCTAGATGCCCATAGCTTGGTAATTTGCTGCCCCTTTAGCTTCTGTTACTGTTATTCTTTATAAAAAAAGATGTTTGGGGGCTGAAGAGATGGTTCATTAGTTTCACAGAGGGCCTAGGTTCTTAGGTTCCCAGCACCTACATTAGGTGGTTCCAGGGGACACATTGCCCTCTTCTGGTTCCATGGGCACTGCACACACATGGTGTATGTACAGACAAGCATATAAAGGAATTTTGATTATTAAACGAGTTAGATCCTGGCCTTCCTCATCTTGAAAGGTTTTGGATCTTACCCCCACACGATGGTGAAGTTCTGGCTTACCATTTTGGAACCTGCAGCTTCCGGCCTCAAGCCTCCCTCCTCAATGACATGCTATGTTCTGTGTTCTGTGACCTAGGCTCCAGCTACCCGTGGCTCGGCTTTCATCAGTTTCCCCCACAGGTCTCTGCAGCACCCATCGTGGTTGCCACCCCACCATCCACTGTGTTTACAACTTCCTTCCCTGGTGAGAATAAATGGCTGTTCGCTTACTTCGGGGAGAAGGGCTTGGCTGAGTAACTTTGCCTCTCCTCCTATCCAATCCAGAGCTTGGGTGCAGGAATTGGAATTGTTGGCCTTAGGGTATTTGGGGTGCTGGGGGCAGGACCCTGGGGCTCTCCACTGTTGCCCTCAATAGCCTGAGGAGTTTTCTTAGACTTTTAGGGATTTTAACTGAGACCAAGATTCTCCTGGAACCAGTTTCCTTCTATGGAAAAAACTAAATATGTCCAACCTTTTGCGAATCATTCTGGACACCCAAAAACCTGCCTTTCTAAGCCAGGAATGGCACAGACCGTACCCTGCACACACTTGGAATGTTAGCAAAAAGATTAGGAGTTCAAGGTCATTTCTGTCGAAGTCCTTGACAGCTGCTTGGCTTTGAAGCCCCTTATTACTTTTAGAGATCTGGCGTTGTGCATGGAGGGGCAAGGATGGAACTCAGTGGAGGGGCACTTGAGGCCCTGGGTTTGGTCCCTAAGGTCATGGGTGGAAAGCAAACCTAAGAAATGTAATCACAGGACATGGCACATAATAGTTATTCAATAAACGCAGCTGCAGTTCTTACTAAATAAACAGGATACTGTTTACTGTGGTGGTGGTAAATTACGAGCTGCTTTAGCGATTCAGCTGGAGCAGCGATGAGGACTTTGCACTGGGCTGTTCTCCAGTTCTCCTCAGCAGCATGGCTCTGACCATGTGTCCCATCACCTCTGGCCGCAGTTTCTTCCTCTTTAAAAAAGAGGACGGAGGATGACCCAGGTTCACCCGATAGCTTAAGTTACACTCCTTAGCGCTTAACCCATTTGACTCAGCTCCTCATATGATGACGGCGACATCAAATAACCAAGCAATGGCTGGAGAAATAGCTCAGTGGGTGAAGGCGCTTGCCGCTATGACTAAGGACTTGAATTCGATCCTAAGGACCCACAAGGCGGAAGGAGAGGACTGACTCTCACTGGGTATCAGCTCTCCACACAGGCACCGTGGCACGCTCTCATCTACTTACAGGATAAATAAAAAGTAATTTAAAAATAACCCAACCAGAGAGTCTAGAAACCCGCAGGAGCGCTCCCACGTGACCCCGGCCAGCGTGTGGCACTGACAAGGTCATAGAGTCGCTCGCGGAGGCTCCTTGAGGTCCTCCCAGGATCCGACCGTTTTCCCAGGAGGCCGCAGCTACATCGCCATCACCTCGGCAACGTCGCCTTCCGGTCTCCTGCGCTGTCTCCACTTCCGTTATGGCTTCGTCATCAATGGGCGCCGGGCCTATGCGTTCCGGGAAGGGTTTCCCGGCTGCGTAGGGGTCGCGGGTGACTTCCAGGCGGTTGGCGCTGCTGGGCGTTGCCATGGAGAGCGGGTCGCGTCCGTCTCTGGCCCAGTTAATCCTTCTGGGCACCAGTTCGGTGGTCACCGCCGTGCTGTACTCCATATATCGGCAGAATGCCCAGGTCGCCCAAGAGCTCAAGGTCAGTGCGGGAGCCCGCGTGGTCTTACCGGCGGCGAGCCGAATAGGGGATCCACAGGGGCCCTGAGGACGCGCGGCCGAGAGGGGACCCCGACTACCCGCTGCAGCGAGGCTGCCCGACTCCGTCGCTCCGAAGCCCTTGGAGTTATCCTCAATGTCTCTGGAAGTCATCGATTTGTCCTAAAATTATTTCTCGAAAAAGTGCTGTGCACCAGGTAGTGAGAGAAAACAGAGGTCGTTGTCCTCGTGGACATCCCATTCTAGGACAATGGGATAGCTACACGTAATCGGACGGTGTGATAGGGTGAGAGGTGGGCTGGAGTAAAGCAGAGAAAAGTGGAAAGATAGTTAAACGGAGAGTTTCACTTTGTGTCTTTTCCTATAGTAGAATGCTTTGACAAAAAGCAACTTAAGGGAGGAAGGATTTGTTTGACTTTCAGTTCCAGGTTACCATCCAGGCAGGAACTTGAGGCAGCTGACAGATCGCATCTGAGTCAAGAGCAAAGAGAAGCAAATGCATGAATGCTTAGTGCTCAACTTGATTTCTCTACTGTTAAACAGTCCAGAGCCCAAACCCAGGGAATGATGTCACCCGCAGCACAACAGGCTAATTTCCCCATTACTATTAGAGCAGTCAAGACCATTTCTTAACAGATATGCCCACATACCCACAGGCCAGCCCAATCTAGACAGCCCCCTGTTGAGACACTCTTTCCAAGTGATTCTAGATTGTGGCCAGTTGACAGTTGAAATTGACCATTAGAGTGAGCGTGGCCACTTTAAGCAAGGTGATATTTGGGGTGGAAATGGAGGGCATGCTGACCTGTAAGGGAGGTGGAGAGCAGCAAATTTAGAAGCTCTTTTACTTAACCACTCAGCTCCTTGCTTCTACGAGCCGTTTCTTTTCGCATCGTAGCTGCTGTAAAAGTGCGCTCTCCTATTTGCGCTACGCTTAGCAGTTCACACAGTGCCTTCCCGCTTTGGTTTTATTTATTGAGTTTTTTCAGCACAGCAATTTTCTGGGACCGATGGCAGTGGTGTTCCCTGATTGCAAACCCAGATATTTGAGATTCAAAGGAAAAGTCATATAGCTAGCGTTAACTGTCAACTTGACAGGATCTGAAATCACCTAGGAGACAGACCTCTGCGTGCACGTCTGAGGGACTGTCTTGATTAGGTTTACTTTGATGGCAAGGTCTGCCCTGAAAATGGACTGCACCGGGCCCTGGGCTTGCAAAAAAGAGGAAATGAGCAGAACACAGGCTTTCATTGCTGCTTTCTGTTTTGGATATCATGTGACCAGCTTCTCTAAGCTCTGTTTATCTTGACTTAAACAGATGGTCTTAGAGTTACCATCACTGTAATCTTGGGGAGGGAAGGGTTTATTTGGTTTATGCTTCCAAATCACTGTTCATAATTGAAGGAAGTCAGGACAGGAACTCAAACAGGGCAGGAACCTGGAGGCGGCAGCAGATGCAGAAGCCATGGCAGGGAGCTGCTACTGGCTTGCTTTTCGTTTGCTGCTCAGCCTACATTCCTAGAGAACTCAGGATGACCAGCCCAGGGGTGATACACCCACAATGGGCTGGGCCTTCCTCCATCAGTCTCTGATTAAGCTGCATTTTATGGAGGAAGTCTTTTAGTTGGGGTTCTCCCATTTCAGAAAGTTCTAGCTTGTGCTGGGTTGACATAGAACTAGCCAGGACACTTCCCAGCATGACTGAGTGTACCCTTGACCTGTGAGCCCAAACAAACCTTTCTCCTTTACTGTTTTTCTCCCAGTATTTATCACACCAAGAGGAATGCAACCAAGACAGCTTAGAACTTAAACTTGGGTTTTGGGGTTCAAGGCCAGGCAGGAGTGAGCATTTCTTCCTTCCTTCCTTCCTTCCTTCCTTCCTTCCTTCCTTCCTTCCTTCCTTCCATTTTCTTTTGGCGGGGGTGGGGGTGGGGGATGGGTGGGGTGGGGAGGTTGAGACGGGGTTTCTCTATGTAGCTTTGGAGCCTGTCCTGGAAATCTCTCTGTAGACCAGGTTGACCTTGAACTCATAGAGATCCACCAGCCTCTGCCTGCTTTCCTTAGTGCTGGGATTAAAGGCGTGCACCACCACTGCTGCCTGGCTGTGAGTGAGGATTTCTATTGTGTCCTTCCCTTTGACTATCAGATTATTGAAACAGTAGATTCCAAGAAATTGGAACCCCACCTTCACCCCATGGAAGCTCCTGCTGCTGGGAGAAGGAGAAGCCAAGGACCTGGGACGGGTCAGAGGAGGACTTTGTCAAGATGATCTTTGTAGGGACAGGCTGAGCCCAGTGGTGCTGGGCTGGACTATACCTTAACCTGACCAGTTAAACCTTACTTCCTGCTGGAGGGATGGCTCAGCAGTTAACAGTACTGGTTGCTCTTCTAGAACCTGAGCTGATTGTCAGCACCACGCGACAGCTCACGCATCATCTGTAACTCCAATCCCAGGCATGTACACGGCACACAGACAAACATGCGGGCACAAACACCCATACACATTAAAATTAATAAATGAAGTAAAAATTTGAAAAACCGTTACTTTTGTGTTAGGACCCAAAGAGAGATTTGGGGTAGAGCCCCTGAGTATCTTTGCCCTCCCTTTCCCAATGTGGCTACATTGGGTAAATGTCTTTTTCTGCTCTTCACTGTTGATTTAGCTTTTTTAGTTGGCTTATTGCAGACAGGTGGCTGAGCCTGGCTAGTTGTGGATGCCAAGGCACAGCTCTGACCCTGACCCCAGTAACACTAGGCTTTTCCCTGGCAGCTGGTCTAGAGATGGACCTGTAAGTCAGAGGACGGTCTTGCCTTGTGGCATCTGTCACCTGATCTAGAGATGACCTGTAAGGCCAGGGGACGGTCTTGCCTTGTGGCATCTGTCACCTGATCTAGAGATGACCTGTAAGGCCAGGGGACGGTCTTGCCTTGTGGCATCTGTCACCTGATCTAGAGATGGACCTGTAAGGCCAGGGGACGGTCTTGCCTTGCGGCAACTGTCACCTGATCTAGAGATGGACCTGTAAGGCCAGAGGAGGGTCTTGCTCTGTTTTATTCATATCTCCATTCTTAGCTCAGCGTTTGACAAGTAGTGAATGCTCAGTACATGCCAATGGTTTTATTTTGACCGAAATTTCACAGCCCATCAGCCAAAGGCTTGATTTGGCAATTGTGTGAAAGTGAACTCCTGAACTTTAGTCCTTTTTCACCGGACTGATTTCAGTAAGGGCTCAGAAACAAAGCCGTGGAGTTCTTGTGGTGAAAGAAGTTCTGGGCTCTGGAATGAAGCAATTCATGAGGAGGCAGCTGGATCTGCTGCACGTATGACTTCCCAGCGAGAGTCCGCTGCCCAGCTGTTCACCTATTCAATTCAATTACTGTGACTCCTCGAGTGAATGGCTCAGAGGGTAACTGATATTTCACTTTCTTTCTTTTTTTTTAAATATTTATTATGTATATAATATTCTGTCCATGTGTATGTCTGCAGGCCAGAAGAGGGCACCAGACCCCATTACAGATGGTTGTGAGCCACCATGTGGTTGCTGGGAATTGAACTCAGGACCTTTGGAAGAGCAGGCAGTGCTCTTAACCACTGAGCCATCTCTCCAGCCCCGATATTTCACTTTCTTGACCCCCAAACCAATTTGGTTTCAAGTTGGCTGTATGTGAGACTCTTGGAATTGCTGAACTCTCCAGGGCCCATCTTTGGATGACCTAAAAAAACCTTGCCAGGACGCGAGGATGTAGCTCCGTTGGCAGAGTGCTTGTTTGGCCTGCCTGACTTCCGGAGTCGACACCAGCACCACATAACCAGACGTGGTGGGACACACCTACAGTCTAATAACTCAGGAGTCTGGGCAGGAGGATCAAAAGTTCCCAGTCCTAAGGAGGCAGAGGAGTTCAAGGGCAGCCTGGGCTACATAGCCGGACCTTGTCTCAAAAAACAAACAAAAAACAAAACAAAAAAACAAAAACAAAAACCCCAACCCAAACACAGACAAATGAAGAAGTCCAGAACAAACTGACAACTGAACGAGCTGAAGGACATCGACAGGTGTGTGTTGAGTCCCAGGCCAGCCTGTGATACGTGAGACCTAGTTAATTCCTAAAAGGATAAAACAACCCTTCCTGGAAAGCCACGGGACTTCTAAGTTTAGATTGTCATTTTGTGGTCAGGCTGTGGAACTAAGTTTAGATTTTCATTTCGTGGTCCGGTTACAGACCACACAGAGCTGAGTGTGTCTTCTTCCGGTGTTTTCCTTGGTCACGGGAATGCTTGAGTGTTGCAAGGCTTCCATGCGTCAGCCCTGCACTGGCTTTTGCCGTACCTCAAGGTTCACTTATCACCACTTCAAAGATCTCGTGAGATTGTGCTTTCCCCTCCCTTTTCAGTTTTGGAAACAGACTCCTAAGTGAAGTTGTTCAAAATCACCAAGGATACGCTTCAGCTCCATCTAGTTCTGTGTTGGCTGGAGTTCATCTACAGTACGCCAGGCGGCTAATACCTTTTATATTTTCATGTAAAAGTGTTCGCATTAAAGGAGTGTTTTGTTCTGGAAGCTGATGGTGACACCTCCGGCCTTGATGAAGATGAGCCCAGAGCCCCCTGCCTGTTTATGGTCGAGGTTCAGGGCCAGATTGGGAACCCGATCATCTAGTTCTCCCTCCTGGCCGGTCTCCTCGTCCCTCATCCCCCCAACACCTTAAGTTTGATTGAGCATGTCAGTATTCAGTGGCCAACTTAATATCTGTTTATTTTTGTGTTTAGGGAGCTAAGAAGATCCACTTGGGTGAAGATCTGAAGGGCATTCTTTCAGAAGCTCCAGGAAAGTGCGTGCCTTATGCTGTCATTGAAGGTGCGTTTGCTCTTTGGTGTGGGTGGCAGCAACTGCCTCCTAGTAGGAGCAGGTAAAAGTCATCTCGACTGACACACACCCTTCCTCTTTTTCTTTTTTAAACCTCTGTTTATATATGTATGCATGTATTTAGTTAGTTTTGTTTGTATGGGCAGGGAGGGCGAGGGTGCCGTTACTCACTTGTGTGGAGGTCAGAGGAAAACTTGGGGGACTTGACTCTCTTTCCACTTTTGTGTGGGTTCCAAGGTTCAGGTTGTCAGGTTTAGTAGCATTTCATCTGCCGAGGCCATTCCTGGCCCTCTTGAGAGCCTTTTAGTGGTGGAGGCCTGTTGTCTTGGGCAGGGTGACTGAACCGTTGTGGGTCTCTGATTGCTTTAGGACACTTGGGGTAGTGTAAGATAGTTAAGACCTGAACGATGTGATGCTTCAGGTGAGCTGCTTACCTAAGGCACTTCACAGAGCATGCCTTCCGGTGGTGATGCAGATGCCATCGTGTTGAGTGATTGCTGAAACCCAGCTCCGACACATGCTGAACCTTAAAGCGAGGGCAGAGCCATCCCTCAGAAGGACCATGATTGCTTTCTCCACAGGAGCTGTACGGTCCGTTAAAGAAACACTCAACAGCCAGTTTGTGGAAAACTGTAAGGGGGTGATCCAGCGGCTGACACTTCAGGAGCACAAGATGGTGTGGAATCGAACAACCCACCTTTGGTGCGTGTCCTCTGACTACTCTCCCTTGGCTGGAGCCTCACTCTGCCTGTTTGGAGCCTGTGCCTGGACTGGCTGTGCCTTTAGCTTTGGGGGGGGGGGCAGGTTGCAGAGCTGCCTCTCCACACCCCCAGTGCTGCTGTGTGGACTGTGCACTTCCCTTAGAACCCACAAGGCAGCCAGTCACAGTGCAGACTCCCAAGCCCACTTCCTGATTAGAGCCTGGTTTCACAAGGGACCTGGAATCCGTTGATTCTTAGCACACTGAAGCTGTGGGACCACTCATTTGCAGATCAGTCACGTGTGGATTCCTTTCATTTGTGCCATCACATGAAGTGAAGCAGTTCCCCTTCTTTCTGAGCAGATTTTTGTCTCGGGTATTTGTATAACAGAAACAAAGGGAATAAACACTAAAGGTGACCTCTGTTGCCAACTCTTGTCCACTGAAGCCTAAGGACCTAAAGTAGACCCTCCTTGCTGTGGTCTTGGTGATTTGGGCGTTGTCGAATGGCCCTTTCACGGGGTCGTCCAAGACCATTAGAAAACACAGATATTTACATTATAATTCTTAACAATGTCAATTACAGTTATGAAGAGAATAAATTTTTGGTTGGAGGTCACCACAACACGAGGAACTGTATTAAAGGGTCATAGCATTGGGAAGGTTGAGAACCACTGCTTTAGAATGGACTGATTTGGAGGCCAGCGTCGTCCAGTAGTATCGCAGAATCGGGGTATCTGCATGTAGGGGGCTCCATGTGTGGGAATCGGTTCCTGTTCCTCTTTTGTTCATCTTTGGTCCTTACATTCTTCTAGGAATGACTATTCCAAGATCATCCACCAAAGGACTAACACTGTGCCCTTTGACCTTGTGCCCCACGAGGATGGTGTCGCTGTGGCCGTGCGAGTGCTGAAGCCCCTGGACTCAGTGGATCTGGGCCTGGAGACCGTGTACGAGAAGTTCTACCCCTCTGTGCAGTCCTTCATGGATGCCATCGGCCACTACATAAGTGGTGAGCAGCCCAAAGGCATCCAAGAGACAGAGGAGATGCTGAAGGTGGGGGCCACCCTCACCGGGGTTGGCGAGCTGGTTCTGGACAACAACTCTATCCGCCTGCAGCCCCCCAAGCAGGGCATGCGATACTATCTGAGCAGCCAGGACTTCGACAGCCTGCTGCACAGGCAGGAGTCCAGTGTCCGGCTCTGGAAGGTTCTGGTGCTGGTGTTTGGCTTTGCCACCTGTGCCACCCTCTTCTTCATCTTGCGGAGACAGTACCTGCAGCGGCAGGAGCGCCTGCGCCAGCAGCAGCTCCAGGAGGAGTTCCGTGAACATGAGGCCCTCCTGCTGAGCCAAGCGACTCCCGAGGACAGAGAGAGTCTGAAGAGCGCCTGCGTCGTGTGTCTGAGCAGCTTCAAGTCCTGCGTCTTCCTGGAGTGCGGGCACGTCTGTTCCTGCCGCCAGTGCTACCTCTCCTTGCCAGAGCCTAAGAGGTGCCCGATCTGTCGTCGGGAGATCAGCAGGGTGATTCCCCTGTACAACAGCTAGGGGTGTAGCAGTCACACTGCGGGTGTCCGTCCCCTGGTCAGAGTTTATCTGGAGGCCTTTGGTGGGGTGGCTGTACCTTAAGGTACGAAGGAGGGGACACGAGCGAGCCTCACATCTCCAACAGCTGGGTGTTGCTTTTCAACCTGGACAGGTCCCTTTCCAGTTCCAAGCACCTGGTGGGGCCATGGTGAGGTCCCCCTTCTTAGGAGCCAGATTTGTGTGTGACCGAATAAGACCAGCTCATGTCCACGCAGCAAGGCCAGGGGTCTCGCCTTTCACTCCCTGGGGTGCTGACTCCTTAGCTTGGGAGGGGCCTTGCTAGGACTCCTCCTCTTGCTTCTGTCCATGGGAAGGAATTTCTTAAAACCTGTCAGGCAGGGCAGGCCACTAGTAATGTTTGCACACGTGGGGAGAAGGTGAGAGGCAGTGAGAGCAGTATGCCTGTCCGGCGTGTGTGTGTGTGTGTGTGTGTGTGTGTGTGTGTGTGTGTGTGTGTCGTCTGTGTGGGATATAGGTCAGCAGGAGGACAACAGACATTTCTAGATGTTTCTTGGCAGGGAGGGCACCAGGGTTGTGGGTGTGGCTGCTGTCCGACTTTCCCAGACAGCTCTGGTTTCCTGTGGAAAGGCCTCACCGAAAGGGAATGAAGGTCACTGCTGTCCTGACCTCTGGCCTTTGTAGTTTCTCTGCTTGCTTTTGCCAAAGAAAGGTATTTGGTGGCGGGCACACTTACAGAGCCTGTCTGGACTGCCTCACTCTTCCTGTCAGTAAAGCCCAGCGGTGCTCTCCCTCCCAACTGCCCTGACTTGTGAGTGCCAGAGAAATTGGAGACTGTCCGTGGGCTGGGTGGTCTGGATCACTCTCAGCTCTGCTTCTTGAGCATCTCCTGTCCTCTGTGACGGGAAGAAGGGCATCTTCCAGGCGCTGACACTAGTACATGCGCCGTCCAAGTGAGCAGCACAATTAAACAGACTGTGTCTCATGTGTCTGCTGCTTTCTTCACTAGATAGAGTTAAGAGGCCGAGAGGAGGCTTCCAGGGGGAGGAGGGGGTGGAGGTGAAGCTCCACCATGGCAGGAAGAAGGTGGAGCTGGGAGACCTGTTTTCTTCTTCAGTTGTTGGAGTATGGTTCGTGATGGTTGAGGCCCTGCTTGCCATGCCCACAGGGAACTCTAATGAGCTCTAAATACAGCCCTAGACAGCTGGCCCAGGGTGCCACCTGACCTTGCTGACATAGTTGCCTTTGACAAATGTATCTTGTTCAGAACACTGGTGCAGCTGGCGTCGAGTGGGGCACTGTGGGCAGCGAGGGGATGTTAGTATTCAGGGTTGTGTGTGCGGTATTGTACCAGTTGCTACTGTAAGCTGGGCGTGGTGACAAGCTGGTCTTGGTGAGTTTGAAGCCAGCCTAGTCTGCATAGTGAGACACCATCTAAAACAGCCGGGGCTGGAGAGATGGCTCAGTGCTTAGGAGACTTCACCTGTTCTTGCAGAGGACCTGGGCTCAATTCCCAGAACCAACATGGTGGTCACAGCCATACAACTCCAGCTCTAGGGGATCCGTTGCCCTCTTCTGACCTGTATGGGTACCAGACATGCACATGGGTATGTAGACATACATGCAGGCAAAACACCCATACACTCAAAACTAAAAAACCTGGAAAAGTTAAAAACAACACAGAAGCCGGGCGGTGGTGGCACATGCCTTTAATCCCAGCACTCGGGAGGCAGAGGCAGGCGGATCTCTGTGAGTTCGAGGCCAGCCTGGTCTACAAGAGCTAGTTCCAGGACAGGCTCCAAAGCTACAGAGAAACCCTGTCACGAAAAACCAAAACAAACAAACAAACAAACAAAAAAGACACAGAAACAGACCTCGCGATTATAAAGGAAGGGACTCTTACCACAGCTCTGTGTATGAACCAGGAGAGGTGAAGTTAATGAGGGCTGAACGCTCACTGGCAAGCTGTGGCTACCACCTGAACTCCAAGCAAATAAAAAGCTAAAAGAGGGGCTGGAGAGATGGCTCAGAGGTTAAGAGCATTGCCTGCTCTTCCAAAGGTCCTGAGTTCATTTCCCAGCGACCACATGGTGGCTCACAACCATCTGTAATGAGGTCTGGTGCCCTCTTCTGGCCTGCAGACATACACACAGAAAGACTATTGTATATATAATAAATAAATAAATATTTAAAAAAAAAAAGCTAAAAGAATAATAACAAATTACAGTCTTGCCCAGGAAACTCCAGGTACTTCCTGAGGGGGCCCAGAGATTCCCTTTGTCAGCAAGAACAGTTGGTAGAGGAAGACTTGACCATACTGGAGGGACAGACAGTCTGCTGGCCAGTGGAGTCCTGTCTAGTGATGTGGGAAGACCATTAGCTGGACAGGGTGAGGGGATCATGGGAGAGCCGGTCCCCCTTAACTCACCTTTATGCCAGGAGTAAGGGCCCAGTGGGGCTGTGAGACCTGCCTTTGCCAGAGTCAAGAACAAATCTGGTCATAGGGATTAGGAGGCAGGACAGGTGGCTTGTCCCCAGTGGACTCCTGCAGGTGACTCCCACTGTGGGAGACTTGGGGGCATTTGTCTCCCAGCTGTCGGAAGTGGGTGTGTCCCCTGTGTCTCCGGTCCCTGCTTGATCCTGGCATATCTGACCCTGCAACTGACTTTAGCTGCATCTGTGGTCTGTGGCAGCTCCTTCCTTCCACTTTGCTAGCCTCGCCTCCAGGAGGGTGGAGGGGGACTAAGCCGATATGTGGGAGATCAGGCTAGAAAGGGGCTCTTTCAGTCAGAGGACTGGTGTGTCCCGAGTCTGCCTGTCATTCTTCTCGCTGCCCCCTTAATGTCTGGCAGGCAAGGTTAGGTGGGAGTCATCTTGGATAACTGCTGCTGGCTTGGAATAGCCATGCCGACACCTTGTGTACTAATACTTTCAGTCCCTATACAGTTGGTATTGGCACCCCTAGCTCATTTCCAGTACTAGATGTCCTTGGACTAGTGGGGTGTGTCAGGCTACCTCAGCCTTTGCTGGGAGCCCTTGAGGCCTGGGGACCCACAAGACAGTTCTGTCCTGTGTTCATGGTCCTGGGTTCCAGGACCCTCACAGAGACCCTGGCCTGCAGATGCTTCAGCCCTAAAGTAAAATGGCCTAGACTGTGTAGGGTCCGTATGCACCCTCCTGTGTATATGGAGTCATGCCTAGATTATCCTAACACAGGGAGTCCCGGATAATGGGGTGAAAGTTATGTTGTGCTGTTTGGGGAATAAGGAGACAAATGTGCATGTGCTCAGTTCAGTTTCTTTTACAAATACTTCGGTTTATACTTGGTTAAATCCCCAGAGGCAGAGCCCACAGCCTTAGAGAGCCCACTGTTACCATAAATGACATTTCTACCAATTTTAGCCAATCAGCACATCCATCCATCATTCAAGCCCCTCCCCAGCCGACCCTGGTGGTGGATGGGCTGGGAGGTGGTCTTCAGAATGCCAATTCATTCAAAATTCTAGCGGAACATTTGAAAAGCAAACAGAAACACGAAGAAGTAGGCCAATCTCATGACCTTCACAAGCCTGATCCCAGGTCATTCAGAAGGGCCAGCTGGGCTGTGGCTCCGAGGCTGGGGAATCCTGCAGGACAGGAGGGCATGTGGAGTTGGATGTCACTGGAGGGCATTTGTTCATCCATCGAACAGTGTATACCTCGTGCCTGCAGGAGTAAAGTGAGGGACACCCAGTTCTGTCCTGAAAGGGCCTGGAATATGTCTCAGTGCATCCCTATTGTTTGTCAAGGAGTGAGTCCCACTCGGCAGGGACGGGAGATGTTGCTCTTTGGCTCATTGGATACCACAGAAGGACATTTTCTTAGTCTGTTTTCTGGTCCTATAGCAGAAAATTTGAGGCTGGGTAATTTATGAGGAGCAGAGGTGAATTCCCAGCAACTCTGGAGGCTGGAGAATCCAGGAGCATGGCATTCACCCCTGCTGAAGGTCTCCATCCTGTGTGATAACAGCAGAGGGAGGGAGAGGGAGGGAGGAGAGGAGAAGAGAAAGGGAGAGTAAATTATTTCAATAACTAGTTCCCCCCACCACCACAATGGCCTTATTAAATTTATGGTCTCACTTTTTGATGGTTCCACCTCTTCATCCCGTGACAATGGCACTAATTATGTCAATGTGGGTTTGGGAGAGAACATCTAGACTATAGTGGGGGGGGGGGCGAAGAGATGACTCAGAGGTTAAGAGCTCTGGCTGCTCTCCAGAGGACCCAGGTTCGATTCCTAGCACCTGCACACTGGCCCTGCACCGCCTCTAACTCCAGTTCCAGGAGAGCTGATGTCCTCTTCCGGCCCCTGAGGGCATCAGGCATCCCCCTGACTCCTTAGCCACACCATGGTGTCCTCGCCTTTGCTCATACAGACTCAGCCGCCGGAGTCCTTGTCCTTCCTTCCACTCACTGGTGTCCACTTGCCCCGGGGACTGCTTGGAGTGTCTCCTGTCACATCCTCCTCCTGCTCTGGGCTGGATTTCGTGTCCCTCATCTAAGATTCCCAAGATACACTCTCATCTTTTAGCTCTTCTCCTGAGTACTGTTTTAGGTTGTCGGTCCCCTTACACAGCACATGGTGTTCTCCCGTCCTCACCCGGAGCTAAGGTGTGTCCTCCCTTTTGTTTTCTGACACAGGGCTGTGTAGCACAGGTGTGTCTTGAATTCTTGATCTTCTTGCCTGAGCCACGTTATGGGAATATGGCAGGTATGCCTGCATCATATTCTTATTTACACAGAAGGAAAGCAAGGCCCACGGGGTGGAATGTCCCACCAAGTACACAGGAGAAATAGGATTGAACCGAGGCCCGGTTCTCTCGTGCCGGAGCTCTTAGCTGGGGATGCTATTGGTTACTTTTCTCGTTGCTATAGCCAAATGCCAAATAGAAAACGACTTGAAGGAAGAAAGAGTCATTTTGGCTCACAGTTTATGAGGAAAAAGTCCATCATGGTAGAGCAGGCAAGGCGGCTTGTTCACAAATTCGGGAGCAGAGGTGAGCCAGTGCTGGTCCTTGGTGTCCTTCTCCATAGGATGGTGGCTCCCAATCCAGGGTGGGTCTTCCCTCCTTAGGTCAACTTTCTGGAAACGCTCAGGGATGTGTTTCCCAGGTGACTCTATATCCAAAGAAATTGACAATGACAACCATCACAAGTCCACTCCTTGTCAATCTGACACTGAACATATCACTTTATATGAACATTTTACCCCTCATGGCCACATCAATACATAATGCATTGAATTAATCTCTAAAAGTTCCAAAGTCTTAACATCCAAAAGTCCAAACTTACTGTCTCTTCTAAGACTTATGACAATCTCTTCCCCTGTGGGTCCCTATAAAATAATTGAGTTCCATCCTGATATAGGACAGAGAATAATATGGAAAGGAACAGAAGCACAAGGAAAGATTATGCCAAAGCAAGACCAAATTCCTGCAGGGAAGACTTTCTGGAAACGCTCAGGGATGCGTTTCAAAACTCCGGAACCCATGTCCAACATCTGGGACTCATGGCATCATCCTATGCTCCCTAAGGCTGGAGTGGCCGTCTCTCCAGCTCCGCCACCTGCAGCACACAGCCTGTCCCATGATCCCCAGCATCCTGGGTCTCCACTGCCTCTTAGGCTTGACTTTGATGGTTTCACACAATGGCTTCTCGGGGCCTCACAGGGAACCTGAACCTGCCACACACACTGGCTGAATTAACTCACTTTCTGGAACTTTGCTGCAAGCTGCTACGGCCCTGCACTCTTGCATTTTTGCATGTCTACACAGCATCACACTGACGACCCTGATACGCTTTTCTGCCTTCTGGAGATACACATGGACCCTCTTGTACCCCAGCTTCAGTGGCCTCTGGGTGCTTCACAGCCGACCCAGGGAAAACGCTTCCACAGACAGTTGTTTGGGCAAGAAACCCTTTTAGCTGCATTTCCATCCAATCTCTCTT